AGGGTGTGTGGAGTTCAGCGGTTGTTATCTTTATCAGCCAGATTTGTTTTTAATTTCAGTGGAATGCTTATTATTGGTTCCTTTCGAAATTCTGGTACAGGAAGAACACTGAAGAATAAGAATTGATTTCTTAACCTTATGGAAGTCTTTTGGGAAATTCTCTGGCTTTCAGATTAACTGCTGATTCTTTTGTGTTACATGATGAAAAAAGGGAATTTGCTGATCTTCTGCTGTGCTCTTGAAGTCAGTGGAGCTATGATGCATACACCAATTTAGGGTCTGTTCCTGAATTTTTTAAATTGCATTTTAAAGCATGGTCTTCTTTTAAAAATATACTTCCTGAGTTGGATCACTGACCTTGGTAATTCAAATCTTATTGCAATTTAAACCCTTGCTATCTCTAAGGCAGTTAGCTAAGCTAAAGTCACCCCCAGCTGATCACTGGTCTCCATGGGGAATCCCACCCTGCTACTTTATTCTGTTCTTAAAAAGCCAGGTCAAATAGCTGTTTGAATTGTAACGATCTCCTTGTGAATTCCTCTTTTGACCAGAATAACTGATATCCTCTTAGCTCTCAAGTGATCATACTAATTTCATTCTTTTCAACTATATCCAGTGCAATGCTTTCTCTGCTGTTTCTGACAACCTTTTCAGACACTATATTTCCTTTTCTGGGAAACAAAAAAATTTAATTTCCAATCGACTGTGTAGTTCCATGGTCAGACGAAGCTGGCATAAAGATTTGTCAATTCTCCCAATGCAAGGTAGTAGAATGTTAGGTGTAGAGATCTGATTACTACTGAAAGGTGTCAGCTCTCACTTGAAAATAATCAGCCAGAGGTTCTTAGTCTTTTTAGCGGCAGTTTATCTGAGTGAGATCTGATAGACAGGTGGTGACATTATAACAAGGGTCCCAGTACAATTATGGAACTCCTAAAGTGCTCCCCAAATTGTCCAGGGGGTGAGTGTGCTTTGCGCCCTTGTTATTTATCGCATCTGCCCAGCCGTACCTTTCATAGAGGAAATCAAGCAATGCAGGATGAATGACTAAAATGTTGGGGGAAGGAGAATATTTTTCTGAACATAATGTCATTTTTACTCCAGGGGGCCAAAACGAGGCCTCGTTAAAGTTAGTTGCAAGTCCATTGAAGTCAATGGAGTTGTGACTGCTTCTAGCAAGGTGACAATTGGCTCCCGGACTTTTTTTTAATCATCCATCTATCTACCCTCAGTGTTTTCTACAGCATCTATCACTATAATATCTAAGTGTTAGATGCTGTTCTATTGATCTAGAAATAATAATAATGAAATCTTTGTTTTCATGAGCAAAATTATAATTCTGAAAATTATGTTTACTGATTGAAAAATTAAACATCCTCTCTAAGTTTATTTTCGTGGCTAATAGTCTATGAAAAGTTACTAGTCCTTCTTTGTGTATTATTTCGTGAAACAGTACACCTAAAAAAATACAACCAACAACCCTACCTCAGATCCTACAAACAATGGTAGTACTCACGTGCTTAAGTTAAGCAGCTGCTAGTCCAGCAGCTAAATGAGTCTGGATAGTCTTCAGGGAGAGGGTAAGAGTCCGTGATGTTATTATGTAAATTTCTGTAGGCAGCCTGGAGCAGAAAGTTATAGGGCATCTTTACACCACACAGGGGGAGCACTGAACTGGAACTAGTACAGCAGATGCGATTAAAATCTTTACTGCAGTTTGGTACTTACCTCCACCATGGTATTTTCTGTGTTTTCTTTCTTGGTATTTACTCCAATACGGGAGTAAATGTAACTCCTGCACACAGTAAATGGAAAGATGGGAATAGCACCCACTGTATTTGGAAATGAAATCCTTCTTTAGTGCAGCAGTTCTCAAATTTTAGCAACCTGAGGACCTCCATTTTTATTTTAAAATTTTCACGGACCCCCAAGCCCCCAACTCAACCCCAGGCCCTGCCCTCACTCTACCCCTACCCCCAAGGCCCTACCCCACACCTCTTCCCACCCCTGCCCCTTCTCTTCCCCTCCTCCATCTGCCCCCTCCCTGCTCCTCCCTCCTTCAACAGCTGTTCGGCAGCATGCAGGAGGCACTGGGAGGGAGGGGGAGGAGTGGATCAGTGGGGCTGGCAGCCCCGGACATAACTCACAGGCTCCCTGGAGTACTCTTGTGGACCCCCAGGGGTCCATGGACCCCAGTTTGAGAAACCCTGCTTTAGTGGATTTACTCTCTCTCTCTTCACTTGTCTTTGTTCCTAAGAAAAGCTCCAGATCAGGACACATACACCTACACTGAGATCCATCCTGAGTGTGTAAAGCTAACCTACTTAGAAATGTACATGCTGGGCATTTTCATAGCTCAGTGCAAATGCAAGGCTATTTGGAGTGAATTCTATGCAATTAAAAGAAAGAAAAGAAAAGAAAAACGGACACGGAGAAAGAGAAATGTATTGCAATTCATTGCTGCTTCACCTGTAGCAGCCTTCCAGTAGGAACGAATGGCTGAACTGCCATGGATGTAGTGTTGAGCTGGGTGAAACCTTGTAATGGGTTGAGGTAGAATCTCATTCAAACCGATGTGCGAAGATGCCCTTAAGAGGCCACAGCTAAAATAAGGTTTAACAGAGTCTGCCAAGAAACTTGCTCCATGTGGGCGAGGGGATCCACTGGTATTGTCACCAGATGGGTATGGGGTGGATGGAGGGGAGGGGAGGGAAGAGAACACATAAAAACTGAGGCAAAAAATCAAGAAAGCCAAGCAGTAGCCTGTGAGCAGGGTGTTACTCTGGAAACAGTCAGAGGGAGAGTTTTTGGTCTGTTGACTAAGGAGCCATTGGGGTTATAAGCTAAGAAACTGCTCCTTTTGTTCTTGCTTCCTCCTGTGTTCAGAGAAGCAGGACTTCATACATCCCTTGGAAATAAACAAGATTGAATCACAGAGAATACTGGACTCCATCAATTTCTACTTCCAACTGGAACATCCCCAGGGCCCCAAACTTTGACTAGCCACTTGGGTCTAAAAAGGGCAATAATAGCATGCTGAAGGATCATGAGACTAGGAGACCCACACAAAGAGATAGTCCAAAAACACAACCTGAGGGAATGGCAAAACAATGAGACAGTGTCTGTTTCTAACCTCTTAATTAGATTTGAGCAGTACACACTCCTCATGGTATGCATATGTGCACACTGGATCTCACCTCCCACCTAACAATATTCCCTAGCTCCTACTAAGCATGCATTTTTCAAGTAGTCTTAATGTGGCTTCAAACCAAGCAAAAACACTAGTTCTTACTGAGGAGCAGTCAAGATTAAAACTTCAACGGACATCCTCAGCGGGATCTGACCGCAGGTGGTTTTGACATAGCCCTGTTCAAAGGAGCATCTTCAATTTTCCTAACACAGGAAAAAAGTGTATTTTTCTATTCCCATAAGTCAAAAACAACTGAAGGAATTTTACTCAAACCTTTACAAAAAAATCTCTTACGAATGGAAAATTTCAGCCCCTAAAATGAATGTTTTATAAAGTTCTGATGTGAGGAAATTGAAGGTTATGTGTAGAACTGGCAAGTGGTTTGCAATCTTTACTTACTTGGTTACTACCAGCATGACTGCTATTATTGCAGAGATTACAGAGACCCAGGATAATTATGATGGTTTAAACAATCCCATAATTCCTGTGAAATACAACTGCCAGGAGCTTAGGAGGCAGGAACCGAACTGTGCTGTTACTCTTAGTTTTGTTCCTTTCCATTCATAGCATGCTACTGCTAATTCACCAAGGAGATGCACAGGCCTGCTGCATTTTGGTAGGTAAACCTACTTCAGAATAGCAAATCCCCTATAGATTTCAGTAAGAATAGGATCAGGCTGCAAAATGCTGCCTTCACAGTTAATCATCATGGAGTCATAATATACCACTCTGTTGGTTGAATATATTCATGACTGGATCCCCTCTATACTTTTAATGCAAAACAGAGTCATGGGTTCAAATGCAATTTTGGACAGAAGTGAAATGTGCTTCATGGTGTCACTCTAGCTCTTAGTGGATTTTCTCAACCTTCTAAAAATCACCATACAAATTGATGTAATGGGAAGTCTCTAGACTTGTATGATCTAATGAGAAGAGGGACTATGGATGAGGATGGAATTACATTGGTAGAGCTATTTAGGGAAGTTTTGCTGAGCATACATACAGCTCAGTGTTACCATAATCATTATAATGAACATTAAAATACTTGCCAGAGTCATTCTATCTTCCCTCCAAATGACCACTGATAGTTTTCATGGAGCTATTTTTCTCTTCCCTGTGTAACACGCCCTTATATTTTAAGAAATACAACGGTCTTGGTCCAAGCCAGACCTTCACTGGTGACTTGTTTTTGCCTCCTCTTCAGGTTTCCAAGCACATTCTGTGTGTAGCAGAAAGATATCATTTTAATTAGATCCATAGAGTGTTTTAGCTGATGGTAAACGGCACAATCCATTTTCATCTGAGATCAGCAGAGTACATTGTGCTGATGTCAGAATGATTAAAAACAAACTTTGGCTTAGCAAAACAAATTATGGCCATCATTCTCTATATCATAGGAGACATCCAACACCTTCCTCGAAGACTTTGTCTTCACTTCTAAAAAATAGGTGTGTTTTTAACTGTGGATAGCTAAGGCCCGTTAGCGATTTAAGGCTGTAAAATCCTAATGGGAACATGGAACTGTATTTTAATGGAAAATAATCTTGGCAGGGTGTGTCGTGTGGCCCTTGCCTAACTACCACATAATAAAAAGTGCCTCGTCTCCACTGCAATCTTACAGTGAGATAATATTGCAAGATAGCTATCTCACTATCAAAAAGCCACCATAGCTGAAGTATATAAATGTATCGTGTAGTAACCGCCAAGTTAACCAGCGTAGCAGAAGCACAAGGGTTCCTGACATTTGTTTTCTTATATGTGGATTTCTGTCATGCAGATTTTGTCCAAATTAAATAAATTTATTGCTCACCCAACCGTTTCTGCAGAATAATAGTGGCAGATGGAGAGAACAAAATCTGGATTTCTTGCTTTCAAGGAATCGCCGCTGAAGCTAATGAGGTGATGGTGACTGTTCTGCAGTTTTAATTCAATCAGGTCTCTGTACAGTCACCATGTTTCGTTCTCTTTCTCTCGGGGATGGAGAGAATAGAATATGAAGGGAGTGACCCGAGTCACTGTATTAGGCGCCACCAGTTCAGATGCAAGATTATACACTGGGGATGGGATTGGGGGGGAAGCAATTTTTATTGTGATTTGTTTCTATTGGACTAGACTGTACCACTATGATAGGTGCCTCAGAAGCATTCACTGAGGTTGAGACACTGAATTACAATATAATAAGGTGCTTTATTGAGATCAGATAAATATATGTTAGTAGTTTTGTAACACGTCTGCCCCCTCAAAGTCTAAGGGGCATTGACTGAATGCCCAGTCTCTGCACACTTCTCAACTGGAACAATTCATTTGTGAGACTCAGTATTTTTCTAGCTGAGTACAATGGGCGGGTGTTATTTTCTCACTGGTGAAAATATTAAACTATTTCCATTAATTTCAACAGACATTTTGACATCTCCAGGATTTTATTGACAGAGGAGTCTGAGAAACAAGCCTTTACCTTCTCTAAGGATCAGACAAAATAAAAATCCTTCCTGTCAACTGTATTTGACATGGTAAATAACTAAGACAGATGGAAAAAGAAAAGGAGGACTTGTGGCACCAAATAAATTTGTTAGTCTCTACGGTGCCACAAGTCCTCCTTTTCTTTTTGTGGATACAGACTAACAGGGCTGCTACTCTGAAATAAGACAGATGGGTGTGTTTAAAGCAAGTTTTCCTTCTCCATTCTGTCATTTTCTGACCTTTTGGGGGCCTGGAGCTTTATAATGGATGAAGCCTTCACGATTAATAAGCATTTACTCTGTTGTTTCCTAAAAAGCCATTCATTAGATTAACAAAACAACAGTTACGAGCTAATCAAGGTCCTCTCAGCTCAACTCAAGGGAAGGGCATGTGCCCTTGTCAAATGCCTCTAGGCAAAATGTTATTTAAACCCTAGTGTCAGAATTGGTCACAAAGAAAGACTGTGACCTATAATTGTGTCCAGTGACTTCAAAGAATTGAGAGTTTACTATGGGTGTGGGCAGGTAGATTTTCAAAAGTGTTCAATGCCCACAATTGGGGCCAGATTTTCCTAAGAGCTCAGCACTCAACAGTTCCTATTGTTATGAATGGGAGCTGCTGGGAGCAGAGTACTTTTGAAAAAGAGGTATTATTATTCTGTGTGCCAAGGCAGGCATTGAAGATGATCTTTGGGGACCTAGGTCTAGATTCACAGAGGACTAATAGCTAGAGATATTTCACTTTCCCAAATTTATAGAATAATAATAATCCTATTTCTGATCAACTTAATTTAGGATTTTAACTTTAAGGGTTGGGGCAAGTGGTTCCCATAAAATAAGCACTGACCTGAATTTGCATCCAAAATGACAAACAAAACAAAACCTTCATAATATTTTAAATTACATAATGCCTATGATCCTAAAGCACTTAATTGTATATGATTCACTTCACCACTGAAATGTAGCCAGCTCTGTCTGGGGTGAAATTTGGCATGCAGTGCACACAATACTACACCAGTTTTAAGAAAGAAAGAAAGAAAGAAAGAAAGAAAGAAAGAAAGAAAGAAAGAAAGAAAGAAAAAAAGAATGCTGGATTCCATTGAAATGAAGGAGAAAATTCTGGTAGAGAGAATTTGAGCCCCAATTCAAATTTAGCCTGCGTACTCATATTCTCATTGAAAGTACCATAGTTAATTACTACAAGGGATCAGGGCTTTAATGTTACTTCATATGAAAGATGAAAAGGAGTACTTGTGGCACCTTAGAGACTAACCAATTTATTTGAGCATGAGCTTTCGTGAGCTACATGCTCAAATAAATAAAGCTCATGCTCAAATAAATTGGTTAGTCTCTAAGGTGCCACAAGTACTCCTTTTCTTTTTGCGAATACAGACTAACACGGCTGTTACTCTGAAACCTGTCATATGAAAGATGACACCTCCAGCACAGTACCCTGTCAACCCCATGCTGGTATTTTTGTTCAATATAAATGTCAAGAGAAGGGCACCATCTACCGAGTTATGAAAACAACTTCCTGCAGCAAGAATCTTGCATCTTCACTGGAAGTCTTCCATCCATGTCCATGGTCTTATTATTGTTCTTCATTATTGGGATTTTCCTTTTTAAATGGTCTGTCCCCTCTCTTAAAATCTTCATCAGTACAGAGTAAGTTTCACAACTTCCACCTTTTCCTTTTGTATTTTCTTTCATTGCCAAGAGGATTAGGTTTGTACTCCTGTTTGAAGGGTGACTGACTTTTTAAATCTTTGAATTCTCTTCATACACAACTTGCGGCACTACAGAAAGATTTGTTGATGGATCCTTTTCATTGTGCTGGTTTGTATCTGCAAACCAGCCATGAATAACGCTGGTCAGCCTCCCGACAGCAAACTCGGGCTCAGATTGTTTTCTAGCTGCAGTGTTTTTCCTTAATCCCAATGAGAGAGTGTTAAGGAAGGAGGCATTACAAATACAAATCATAGTTCATATGTTTTGCAGTCTTGAAGGCTAGCGAGATATGGTGAAGATAATTTCATCGCTCTCCCTGGCAATTATTGCAGTAAGACCAAAAGGGATCACTCTCCAATAGGCTTTAAAGATTTCAGTCCATCCAGTCTGTTCTTTACTCCCAATTTTGTTAATTAAAGTTGTCCCTCAGTAGCTACAGCAGAATGTTTAGAATTATGGGCTATAGTTGCTAAAATGGTAGATTGCTCCCTCCCCCCAAATGTATGGGGGAAGAACAGGGAATTGACATTAAAGAACAGATTCAGCCATTTGTGAATGCATAAAATTATACAACTGCATCCAAGTCAATTCAAGGATTTACTTTTAACCAAGATCTCTGGCCTGCAATAAAATCCTTTATGGGGCTGTGACTCTTGAAGAAACAAAATGTCTTCAGTGATGATGAATTGATTCACTAAAAAGCAAACTCATACATAAAAAGAACCCTCCTGCTCTGGCAATAGAAGTGGTAAAATGGGCCATGTAGTATAATCCACATACATATGTCGACAATGAAAATGCTTGCATTAGTACATCATAATCATAAATATTCTAACTCCAAAGCCAAGCCTGGATGCAGAGTCCATTTTTTCCTTTGTATGCTTGTCACTTTGAAATGGTTCAGAAGTTTTATTTTCCCTCAGCCCCCTTCCAACCAAATCCCTGAAAAACAAGCAAATGACATTTGAAAACCTCCACTTTTCTGTGATTTCTTTCTAAAGAAAATGGAGCATGTTTTCTATTGCATGCCAGATGCTGTTTGTGAAGACTGGACATGTAGAAGGTTCCTAATTAAAGCACTAAATTTGGGGATAAAAAAAGTCAGTCACAGATTTTTTGATACCCTGATAGTGGACATGCAGGCAGCCTGCAAAACAGCCTTTTCAAGTGCCTTCCTCTCATTGATCCTTGGGGAACACATAATGGCAAGCAGCAGTTAATTTAAAGCTAATTGAGAAATCTCTGTCCTTTCTTCACACAATAAAACAAGGTGTCAGGCCTCAGCTGGCATTTGCACCTTGACAGGAAGAAAATGGCCGAAATCCGAGTGGAAAAGCTGCCACCTCATTTTCACTTCACACAAACAAAGCTTCCTATGTTTATTGTTTCAACAGCACCTCAGCCCATAAATAAGAACCGTCAAGAGGAGTGGCTGCAGCTAGGGATGAATCCTGGCAGTAAACAAAGGCTGCTACTTTAACAATACCACCTCACAGAACCAAGATGACAAAAAGTCATGGCATTCTAAACCAGTAACTCACTGAGGCAGCATAGTACCAGACCCTAAATCCCCACAGGTGAGGGAACAACCAAAAGCCCCAGGTAGTCCATTCTCATGAGAAACTAACCACCAGGCAGATGCAATACCTTCATCCACTGAAAACAGTTGCATCTTATCCTACCAATGCTGCTCCCTGAAGCTTTCCCTAGCATATATCAGGAGAAGAGCTATACAACCCAGATAATCTTCTGAATTCCCTGTTAGCATCAAGGATTGCTGTTCCAACTATAAGATAAATACAGCAAACACTTGCTGTGATAAGGCAATGGAGGAGGAGGAGACGTGATGAACATATCAACAGACAGCAAACAAATAGCATTATGTCCTGGGAAAAATATACTTTGACAATCCACCTAGCACACAGAGGGAAAAACAACCTGAAAGTGACCTAAGGTATGCTCTTACTCCAAGTGGGCAAAAGGTGAGAGTACCATAGAAGCAGCAAAGTAGTGAGCTGTAGCTCACGAAAGCTCATGCTCAAATAAATTGGTTAGTTTCTAAGGTGCCACAAGTACTCCTTTTCTTTTTGCGAATACAGACTAACACGGCTGTTACTCTGAAACCTGTCAACAGTCCCTTTAGGGGTCAAGTAGTTGCCAAGCAGTGGACACTTGCCAGTCATGGTCCACAACTGTTGATCTGCTTAATCACAGAGCTAGTAACTGATTGCTGGCAATGATTCCTAACTGTGACCGGTGACTTCTGAGCAAGGTCCTGGAGCACTGAGTGAACCAGCCCATTATTATGGAACCAAACACTCTTAAGCTCCACAGCGTTCCTCACTCCCCAGCGAGCTTCCCAGAGTCCTCTCTGCTGTTAAGCCTGCTTCCACATATTCTACACCTTGGTACCTGTCCCCATCCCAGCTTGACCTTCCTGCAGACCTTCTAAATTCTGCATGACTTGCTGTGGACCTTAGTTAAACATATGGCTGATGATGATGACTTTAAAAAGTCTATATGTAGCTCCATTGACTCAGAAGACCTGCTGCTCATGTAGTCCCTCTTAGTCAACGGAGCTGCTCCAGTTTACACCAACAGAGTATTTGGCCATAAGTTTCCCCATGAAAGCACAGCTGGGACAGGGCACAGGAGAGGATTACTCGAGAAGGGTTGCAGAATTCATTAGCCTTGAAGAGCTTATGAGTTCCACAAGCACTCTGAGCTGTGAGGAACAGACCATTTAAAGGTAATCAGACTTCTAGACAACCTTCCAATGCCCTGTAGAGTCCCCAGTGTTCCTTAGGAACCTGATGGGCCATTCCAATGTCTTTGATTTGCAGCTGAATAGATTTCCA